CGTTAAAACCGCTCGACCGATTTTCTTCGTCCTTCGACGTTTCGATATTTTTTTCCCATCCATTTTCGTCGCGCCTCGCTTTTGCCAACTCCTCGTATATATATATATACATACACACGTGGGAACGTGGTTAATCGAACGGGTTCGCGGCTACTACCTCCCGAAAGCCAGTTTTGCCCGTTATCCTCGAGTCATCGCTTTCCTTTGAACACCATCGAAACGACGGCGTGGAGGAAGGGTAAGGAGACGCTCGGTGTTATTTATCAAGGACCGGTGTTCCTTGCCGTTTCTTACGAGGATCGCGTTTGATAACGGTACACGCGATAATCGACGCGAAAGCACGCACGGGGCGCGTCTTCGGTTCGGTTTCCGTGCACGGGACACGGTGGTGATCGGATAAAGGTTAGGTGAGTAACGAGAGTAGAATGATAGCAACGTGCCGGCTAAATGTCAAGGATATCGTTTGAGAATTCGTTGATCGAGGTGGGGAAAAATATATATATACCCCTTCCTTATAAAGCTCGGGTTGCAACGATTGCGACACTCGTGTTTCGTTCATTTGGAACGTATCGAATCGGATGGTTGGCGGCGCGATTTTATCGAGGGAACAACGATCGCTCGTCCTGGGCGTTCGAGAGACGTTCGAGCGAGTCGGGGGTATATCCAGCTTAAAATAGGGTGCGAAGTAAAACGGAATCGTCGCGCTCGAGACGACGAAATGAAATTCGCCCTTTTCTTTTTTCGCTTCGAGTAATCGCATTCCCTCCGATTTCCCTCGCCGAGGATCGGACGCAATTCCTTCGTTCCCTCCCCTCGAGGGACGTTACGCGTCGTTTATTCGGTCTGCGAGGAAGCGACGTCCGTCCCCGGGTGCCATGCGCCCGGTTCTCCTCCCCCGAGGTGGGGAGAACGACATCGACCGTCGTGGGAGGATGCGGAGAGATGGGGAGATGGTGTCAAGGGCGGAAAGGAGAGAATCGCGCGCCATTTATCACCGCGCGCGCATCTTCGAGCGAGCGCCATTGTTCGAATACGCACGGGAGAGATAGGATCCGCGGTGGAAAAAAGGAGAAAAGTGTCCCGATGATATCGTGTTATACAAACTGTTCCGTTCGAGGAGGCATGAATCGAAGAGGTTGAACCGAACCGAACCGAGCGGGGGACCGGTTCCATTGAACCGAGAGGAAACGGAACGGTTTCCAAAGCGAAACGGGGCGAGACGATGCTCGATCAACGTCAAGAATCGGCCCCGTGCAGATCTGTAACTCGATTACGTAAACTAATGATAGACACCGATGTAGCATTTATGGATTGTTATTTCGAGGAGCGTGGTAGGGGGAGAGGAGAGGGAGAGGAAGAAGAAGATGCCAGAGGCGGATAGCGAGGTGCCAAGTTTCATAAGCACGTCCTTGCTTATCGGATCGGTCTGTAACCACGGCTGGCCCTCTCTCTCTCTCTCTCTCTGCCGATTTATTACAAGCGGAGGAGGAAGGCGCACACTACGTACGCACAAGGAGGCGCACGGAAACGGTTTAAGCGGCTTATCACCGTTCATCGGATAATATCGGCGAGGCTGAAGCTGAACCCTAATGGTTATGAGTAATAGCCGGAGATGGTGGCGGCGGTGCGCGGGGTCGGATCCGGTCAACCGTACACAACCGGAATACGTACGTAAGATTCAGATACCCGAGTTGCCGTTACGCATTATCCACAGAGTTTGCCACCGATTTGTCTATCGTGGGATCGCGACAGACAAACGGTCCTCCTCGCGTTTTCGATTCCTTTCGAATTTTCCGTTCCGGGACGGAATGCAAAATCGATGCCGGTTGCGTAAAAACGCTCGGACCTAGATATCGTGGCCCGCGACCAGAACCCGGATCTTTCGTTTCGCCCATTCTTTCAGGATTCTTCGATGAACGTTCGTACGAAAAATGAAACGTACGATCGATTCTATCCGAAATTAATCGAACAACAGAAGCCATATCGGTGATAAAAATTCTTAATCGTGCAAAATAAATCGCGGAGTTGTTATCGTTACGGCTCACGTTTGAATCGTAATCTCTTGGAAAAAGTGTGGCATCGATCTGCGTGGGTAGTAATTGCTGCTCGCAGTTTCCTCGTTCACGCGAAGAAATCGCGCGTTCGTTCGGTTTACGCGCGATTAATCGATCTCTCTCGATCGAAAGCTCGTTAGCATGATTTACACGAACGAACGGAAGCTTCGTTAAACGGAGTAACGGTCGACTCCAATCGTCTTACTTTTTCTTCCTAATCGCGGGCGCATCGGACTCGATCGCTCGTTTAATTTCTCACGTTCTCCCTACCGATAAAATCGCGATAAAACGCGCGCGTAACAGTTCGTTCGTTTCGAAGAGATATTCGCGAATTCGATGAATAATATCAGGGATACGCGTCGATCGAGAGTCGAAGGGAAATTTATCGAAATACGGATACGTGTCGTCCCGTAGCGAATCGTTCGAATTAAAAGTTCGACTAACGACTTCGAGAGACGAGTCGAATCTCCACTTTTGTTTATTCAACGCGTACGACTTGTCTTCACCTGTTCCAATCCTCCTTGCTCGATCCTCCTCCCCCCGCGGCCATTATACTGTCAAATGACTCGATTGAAAATGCACCCCTCGAGCGTAATCTACATAAGCTACGAGGGACAAGCTCCTCGTAGTGGCCACGGTCGCCTGGTGGTGGTGGATCGTGGACGGTGAAACGAGTGTCGAAAAGCGGGCGGATAAAATCCGGTGGAGTCCGATATCGTATCGGTCGAATCGATAAATATGCGCGTACGCCGGAGGACGGTATCGGCGAGGACCAGTGGAGAGGAGGGCGAAGAAGGAGAAGGCGATTCATTAGTCGTACAACACGGAAGCGTTGGAAGCGCGCGGTTCCTCGGAGTGTCGTGTCGGTCGGTCGGTCGGTCGGTGTGCGCGCGCCGATGTCGGTGTCGGTGCGTGGCCGGCCACGCGTGTGTGCGCGTGGACGATGCAGGGCCAAAGTCGGCGGAGGGCCTTGTTATGCGCGACGGGGGCCCCCCTCGGGCCCCAACGGGCTCCACGTTTCGCTCGATCCGGCTCAACGTTAAAACGCGGAATATATCGCGTTTAATTCTTTCCGTCTTCGATCCTCTCTCCCTCTTCGTGTTCACGGACAACGCGTCCTTTTCCTCTTTCCTTAAGAGGAGGATGAGGGGGGAGGGGGCCACGTCACAAGGGCCACGATCTCTCGAGACGTTGGGAGGATGGCAGGTGGATCTAAGCCGCGAATCGAAGAATTCGTCCCTGTTTTTCTAAACAGGATTTACGTTTGAATGAAAAAAAAATCCTACGCCTAGTTCGCCACCTACCTACCACGCTCGTCTCTATATCATCGAAGAAGTATTTCAAATTTAAATTTTTCGGCAGGAATTTCGAAATTTTTTTTTTTATACTCTTTTTTATTATTCGATGCAATTACCATAATCTAAATATCGATGATATATATGTATATATATATATACGCGTCTCGTATTATTTCGTAACCTAACGCCCACGCGTAAAAGCGATTCGAAACGAAAAAAATGATTTAGACGGGAGAAGAGGGGGGGGGGGGATTTTTTTCGAGTGGCACCGATCGAACGAAGAACTCGCGAGGCGCGTGTTCGCCTGGTGATTTACCTCGACACGACGGAACTATTCCCGCGACGGGACGGCCGATAAACGATTCACACGACGGAACATACCGGGAAGGACATCGTAAATTGGTACAACACGGTAACAAGCGCGTCGGTGGAACAACGTTCCAGCGTTCGTTGGAAGGGCCAAGGCGAATTAATAACGCTATCGTGTTCCGAATAAATTCCATCTCGCCCGACTAGACGATGCTTAACTCTACGCGTTGGGAGATCGCGTTGCGAACGATCCGCTGAACGGGATCGATATCGATTGATCGAGTTTTTGCGAAAACTAACGAAGGAGAGAGAGAGAGAAAAGTGTCGCGATTTCGAAGCGGACTACGAATCCCTCGGTATATACACAGACGCGTAGATAACAGTCTCGAGACCGTTTCTCGAATCACGAACGATAATTACTTCGATAATCGTCGTGTTTGGAATGGCGAGATTCCACGCTCGACTATTAGCGGATCCCGGCCCTTCTCACGCACCGCAAGGACCGCGAATTCTGCAGATTGCTTCCTGCTTCGTCGCGGCTCATTCCCCGGCTGCCGGTATACCGTTGCTATAATCCGAAGAATCTTAAGGAGACTCCGCGGCGAGCGGATTAGGCGACAACGTTGGGATAACGATCGTCGTGAATTTTCCCATCGATTTACTCATGGATCGATCCGGAGAAATCGGCGGAGAACGATCGTAGCAGGCTGTGCGTAGACCAACGACGAGATACGAGAACGATTGGCCGTCGATCGATGCCCATCGAGAATGGTTACTTACGGAGGAGGATCGAATCTAAGATCGATTATTGGAAAGGAATAAAATCGAAATGTTAAGCGAGTTTAAGCTACGAGGACTTTACCGTGCCAACGTTTTTCGTCACGGCTCGTGAAACCCTTAATAAGTTTTATAACGGTCTCTTGATTTTAATTTCATACGTTTTACCAGTTTCGAGGATCGCGGCCTACGTATTTTCGAAACCGTGAAATTCCTTTTCTATTCCTGTTAATGGATATAAAATTACAAACCTCGACCGTATTGATATATCGCGTACACACGGATTACGTGCGTTATCCGAGAACATTTCGAGACCTACTTCGAATACGTTACCAACGCGAGGAAACGTAATCGTAATCGCGCCATTTATGATTTCCTCGTTTAATCGAACGCGTAAAAATTGTCCTACTAAAAAGGAGAGAAAAATCGAAGAAAAACACGTCGTATTACGAAATAATACGCAATACGATCGTGCGCGTACCTCGTTTCTACGCATTACCTCGCATAACAGGTGTAATTTTACGGGCCGTGCCTCTTCCGAACCGGGTCTGTGTTTTCTTACCTGTTGCACTGTCTCTTCAGTTCCCGCCGGATACTCGTGCGCGTGCGGATGAACCTGAACGCTCCGCTGCCCACCGAGCTCGCTCTCTTTTCTCCCTTCTCCAACATTGGGAGCCACTGCTCGGCCTCCACTCCATTCTGCACCTTGTCCATATCCATATCTGCCTCCTCACCCTCGCTCGTCCTCCTCGTCGATCCTTTCGTCTCTCTCTCTCTCTCTCTCTCTCTCTTCCTCACCGCACCCTCGTCCACTGTCGAACGACCGCGTCGAGAAACGTCGATGATGCCGCGACGTTTACGCTCGGACGCGGTCTCATGGCGGTGTGTAACAGCCTTTAACCTCTAACGGATCGGTCAAGTTTCTCGCCGATCCTCTCTCTTTCTCTCTCTCTCTCTC